TGTTTTCATTTTTTAGGTAAAACTCAATGTTCCAGTCCCGAACCTCGTTTGGGTACTCACACAATGTTAAAAGAATAAAAAAGTGGGTAAAAAGGGTTAGTTATTGGAGAAAAACTAGAGTATAACGGCGAGTTCAGACCCTAAAATCTCAAATCAACCCTCTATGTTTCCCATTTTTTCAGAAAATTAAGATTTAACATGGTAAACCATTTAAATTGGTATTAAAACCAATATTAAACCACTATTAAACCACTAAAACTGTCTTTTCTGTTCAGGAATGACAGGAAATAAATAGAATTAAGCATCTCAATCAGACATAATGACGCCTTTACAATTGTTTTAATTTTTTAGGTAAAAATCAATGTTCCAGTCCCGAACCTCGCTCAGGTACTCACACAATGTTAAAAGAATAAAAGAGGGGGGAAAAAAGAGTTATTTACTGGAGAAAAACTAGAGTAAAACAGCGAATTCAGACCCTAAAATGTAAAATCAACCCTCTATGTTTCACCTTTTTTCAGATAATTAAGATTTAAAATGGTAAACCATTTAAAATGGTACTAAAACCACAATTAAACCACTATTAAATCGCTAAAATTGTCTTTTCTGTTCAGGAATGAGAGGAAATAAATAGAATTAGGAATCTCAATCAGATAAAATGACGTCCGTTACAATTGTTTTCATTTTTTAGGTAAAACTGAAAATGCACCGATAATAATATAATAATAATTATATTTTAGTGCTACATGTTTGGAGTTTGAACCATTAAAGGAACACACAGAAATTAATAATATAATAATGATTCTATTTTAGTGCTACATGTTTGGAGTTTGAACCATTACAGGAACACACAGACGATAATAATATAATAATAATTCTATTTTATTGTTTCATTTTGGCTGCAGAGCTTCTACCTGCTTATTGTTTAGTTATTCTGCCTCTTTTATTCTAGTGTTACATGTTTCGTTTTGGCTGCAGAGCTTCTAATGCTTATTATTTAGTTATTCTGCCTCTTTTATTCTAGTGTTACATGTTTCATTTTGGCTGCAGAGCTTCTAATGCTTATTATTTAGTTATTCTGCCTGTTTTATTCATACCTGTTTTAATTGTGTTGATGGTTTCTCATCTCATTTACGGACTGTTTTCAGACGGTGTCGTGGCTCAGTGGCGCCCCCCCTGTCCTGGAGGCCTGTGCGCAGGCCGCCACTCAGCCCCAAATCCTCCGG